AATTTTTTTAATGAAACTGCACTGATAATTGTTTTTGTATCTGTTATCATGATGTATGAAGTTCTAGATAAACGATAGTAAGTAAATATTGAATATTTAAAAATATATATTTATGTTTATTAAGCGCTGGTGTCACCTAATAGGCATTTTTACAAGGTAATGCCATGTCTAGAGGGTTGGAGCCCCCAAACTAAAGACTTACTCGAGCATTACCTAAAAAAAGAAAAAAAAGGATCCTTTAATTTAAAAAAGGGTCCCTAAAATTGCTAGCCCCCCTCCTTCATTTAGGAATTAGGTAGTCTTGTCAACCCAATTTTCTTTATTTTTATTGTAATATGCCCGCGAATTATATAATGAGGTGGCATCTATAAAGTAAGTACGCAGTAGAATTTCTGAAGCCTTCCTCATTTTTGTATGTACCCATTATTTTAAAAAAAAACTTCCTTCTGTCAACAATGCAAACTATTAAAAGTATTAAGTATACAAGTTTTTAACGAGCACATTGTTTTTTAACGACTTTAGCTGCTCCACTTGCATTTGTACAAGGGTTGCCATATCCTTTTTGCTTCAATTTCTTGACATCTCCAACTTGAGTTACCTCATCTCCTTCTCCTCGAATCTTAAGAATCTTAGTTACAGCTTCTTTTCTTTCTTCTGTATTTTTGCTGCAAAGCATGGCTTGTAAAATTGCTTCAGAATGTGCATACCACGCTGATCACCTAATTGTTGGCATAACAATATCTAAATGATTTGACACCCAAATTCTGCAAAATCGAAGAGCTGTTGTCAGCCATCTACTGTGGCAGACTGGTCCAATTTCCAGCATTGTTAACCTGTTAGGTAGAACTCCAGTCTTTATTGCTTGGCAAATTTGATAGGTATAACTTTGGTCAGTGCTTAAATCCTTAATAATCTTCTGACTGAGATATATTAAAGGAGGACCTAAATTTATTTTAGTAAATTTATTTTAGTAAAGTTTAGTAAAATTACAATTTCAGTTGCTGTCTCAAGCATTTTCCCAAGTGGTCTAGACCATTTATTATAAGAAAGTGTTTTACCATCTAAATTTTCAATTAAATGCCTTAACCCTAACTCACCAGTGTGTAAATCACAAACAATCCAAACTAATCTTCTATTTAATTTTTTCTCTACCCATGGCATGACACCACCTACCCAACCAGTATTAACATTTGTGCTATCTCCTCCAATAGCCATGAGATTTTGAATTTGATTTTTAGTTTTTAACCAGTCAACCAAGTAATCTGCAATAACTTCTGCTTTTTTTTTATTAGCTGTCACATCTGGAACAAAATAAAAAAGATAGTCATTGGGTCTTTTACAACAGAGTAATGTTCCTCTTTAATAAGGCTAGGAAAATTTATTTTATTTGCTTCTGTAAACATTTTTGTAGCATCTACTCTTCCATCAAAAAAAAAAAAAAAAGAAAAGTAACCAGGTTATTTTCTAGGTCTATCTCAAACTGGTTGTTTAATTCTTTTGCTAATTTTTCTTGAGCCCTTTTGATCTTGTTATGAACTATAATAAGATGTAAATCACTCTCGCTTATAAGTTTTGCATCTATCAAGGTAGCTATGGCTATTTCAGTTGCTTCTCTTAAACTTGTTTGATGTCTCAGGCTAGCCAGTGCAATATTTTTGATTTTCATAGTATTATACATAGAAAAAGTTTGATTAAGGGGTGATTTACATTCAGTTTGACTATCTACTTGGATTATGTTCTGCTCACTATTATCTTGAAATGTCATAGAGGAGCTATTTGCGTAAACTTTTTCTTACATAACAGTTTTGTGACGTACATAATCCTAAAAAATACAGACATTTTATTTTTATTTTTAATCAGTATCTATACTAAAATTTATGCAACTGTTTTTGTGTCATTCTCAAAATAGTCAATAACTTATTTAACTCCACATCTACTCAATTTCATATTTGTCTACAAAAATACAATACAGAATTTTAATTCAATCTTATAATTGTAATAAAAACCCACTTGAATACAGAACATGAAGAAAAATACTGGAAATAAAATAAATACTTTGATAGCAACTAATAGTTTTAAACTTACTTCCCCAATATGTGTCTGAAAAGGAGATACATATTCATTTTCGTTCAGACAATCAAATTGTTCAAGTTTATCATTTGTTTTATCTGCCTTAAAAAAAAAAAGTTATATATTATAATAAATTTTTTTCTAAAATGATAAATGTTTGTATATATTATATTGTCGTACAAGTAAGTATTATTAAATAGCTACCTTTTCTTTCTTTACCATTGCTATTTTTTGTTGTTGTTTTTTTTCGATTTTTTGGATTCTTTTCTATCTGCACTACCAATATGAAAAGTCCCAAAGCTTCCTATTTTAGTTCTCTGAGAATAAATAAATTGAAGCTCTACAATTGGTATTTTCTCCTCTCTCTTACCTTTGCATTTTATATGAACTTTTTCCATACATCCTGAACCACATTTGTACTCTGAACAAAGAATTAATTTACATTTACACAGTAAAATGTCCACAAGCTTGTCTAGTTTTAGAGAAAATCTATCTTTTTCAGCTTTTTTTCCACGTCCATTTCTAAAATCGACAGCAGATTTCCATAAATACTTGAGTTTTTTAAAAATTGTTTTTTCATGGATTACAACTGGATATACAAAAAGGGCATTTGCCTTTAACCATTGACCAAGAACAGTGGGTACCATATCAGTTACTAGCTGATCTGCAGTATAGTTCCTCGAATTTGTTTCACTGATTTCTCTTAAAAGTATACCATATCGTAAAATATCTCTGGCTGTTGGAAGCTCAAATACATAAAGTTCTTTTCCATTCCCTACAAGATTGCTCATTTTAATAAATAATGCATTCCTTGTTCTATTCGACATCTTTAATAAACTAAATATGTTTACCGGAGCTTTCCTTTTGGTCCGAATATGAAGTAAAATGGAAAGATATGAATAGTTACGCATTTTTGGTACTTATTTTAGCAAAACCAAAATAAGTAAAAATAAAATGAAAAGTTACCAAGCTAGCATTAAAATTATTTAATTTTTAAAAATATCACTCCTTTTAAAAAGTTATGAATTTTTAATTTTTCACTACTCTTTTTTCTAAATTTAAAAAAGTGCATTTTATCATAAAAATCAACACACCCTAATACATAAGAACCAATTGAGCAGTTATTACCACTTCTGCAGATCAAATATGTTCAGATTTGAATTCCCTGATCGTATCTACCTATATTTAGATATAGAACATGTCACATCTATTTGAAAAACCATCGGGACATCTCAGAACCACTCTTGATCACTCCTAAAATTACCATTTGAGCTGTCAAGACCCCGTCTTAGGGCTGAATATGCCCAGATTTAAGTTCCATGATCGCAATTACCTATATTTAGACATAACATGTCCTATCTAATTTAAAAACAATCAAAACATCCCATGACCATCTTGACAACCCCTAAAATGACCACTTGTGTGGTCATGACAACTCTGAACTTAAGCCTTAAAATTAAATCCATAGCCCCAAAAACATATATAAATATATATCATGTGTCTATATTTAACCCATAAATAGTTTTGCCATTTTTAAACGATTCTGGCCCACTGTGCAAGGACAGATTAGAGATTTATAGAGGTAAAGAATAGAATTCGGAGTAAGAAAGTGGCAAGCATGATAAATGATTTCTAAGAATCCTAGAAGATGAAGGGTAGATGACTCATCAAGTACTGTTCATAAATATAGGAGGATCTAGATTATTGCGATTCGCTGAAATAAATCTTATAACTTGATATAAGTTTTAATTTAAATTTAAACCTAATAATCAAATAAGTCAAATAAATGATCTAGAGTGAAATAGTGAAATAGTGAATAGTGATTAGGAAAAATGTTACAAAATTTATAGTCATGATATTGAATATTAAGTAAATTAGACTAAAAGTCTATCTTTTCATTTTTATCTAATAAGATAAGCTAGTTATAAATTTTATATGCAGTAACATTAAAAACTCAATGTCATAGCTTTATATGTGCATGTTTTAGTAGAATGTTAGTGCATAAAAGCATCAGACATAAAACCAGACACATTGTGTAAGAAGAAGTGTTCAATTACAATTTTTTCTAATTTCTGGGGGAAATGTGCATGTTAAATAGTAAATGTGTGGGGGGTGATAGGTGAGGTGTTGCAGGAAGGGACTAGAGATTTTTAAAAACTGAGTTTAATTCATGCTTAATTTAAAATTTCTAGTACCAATTATGAAATACTTTTACATACATAATTTGTATTACAATATATAATACAAACTAAAATACATCAATAATATAATTTTTATTGTTTTTAATGCACTTTTTTAATGCACAAATTTCAGAGTTCTGAGTCATAACTTTCCCATGAATAGTCACTTTTTTTTTCTGAAATCACTGTAGTAATGTCTATTAAATCAGTAGAAAAAACAAATCTTATCAAAATCAGTGTTAATGCTGGTTTAATGTGGAGGCACAATTTTTTAAGTTTTATCTGGAGCCATTTTCAGAAGTCCATAATTTTTTACTGAATTGTATCTTATCAGTAAATTTCTTACAACTTGGAAGCATACCATTTATAGAAACTTAAAAATGTCTTTTCACTTCTTAAATTGCAGACTTTGTATATTGACCCATCAAAAACCAACTTTTTATATTTGCAAGCAATTTTTTAGATTTTTTAGGTAGACATAGATTTAATGTGACATGCAAAAATTCAATGTCAAAGTTTTGAGGTAAGTCTAGAGTTGTATACAATTAAAAAAACTAAAAGATTTTCTGAAATTTTGTTTTTAAAATATAGAGCTGCAAAGTATGAACAAAACATGTGTTCACTACTAAAGTTTTAAATTTTGGAAAAATAGGAAGTTTCAAATGACCATATCTCATGAATGACAAAAGATTTTATGCTAATATTTTCAAGAATTTTTTTCTCATTGATATATGCCTGAGGAAATTATACCTTGACAGCCCATGTGTTGTCCAGTTATCAGTCAATCTTGTATTTCTTAAAAGGAAGTGCTTAACAGAGTCATATGTTGTTAAATCTAAAAAAAAAATACTTCCAAAAAGTGTGTATTTATAAATTTATATACATTTTGGCCTAGGGTAGAGCGGGGCTAGTTGGGCAATTTTTACTAAATCTATTAGATCTCATAAGCGGTGCGTCGGATTTAATAAATATAATTTTTTCAATATTTGAAAGATAAATTAACCTGCAAAAATTTTAAAAATATATATATATAGCTTTTAATTTTTTGAGAAGATATTGCTTAAAGTTTGCCGAGCTGCTCAACCTGCCTTAACGAGGTAAGTTGAGCAATAGTGAGTGGTAAGTTCAAAAATCAACAAATAAATGAATATGAAAATAATAAATGAAAATAAATGAATAAATGGTATGAAACTTGGGTGAATCATCAATAAAACTTTCACTAACAGTTAGCCTGTGTATAGTTTATAAACTTTTTATTTTATACACTTTAATGATGTAAGTAAAAAAAGAGAGAGAATTAAATATAAAGAAAGCGCCATAAAATATAAAAATGTCTTGAACTTTTAAGCCTGATTTAAAAATTACTAATTTTAAAAATATACATAAATAATGTACCACTCTATTATTTCTCATCAAAGTTGTTTCTTTGTGTTCAATAGTTAAATTTTTTTTATTTTTCTCAAAGCTGCTCAACTTACCCCTACTAGACAAGGAGACGCATTAGTTAGATTTTAAAAAGAATAGTAAGACTTTAGAAAAAACAGTTAATTTTAACCAAAAGTCCAATAAATTGTTAAATTATCAACACTTAAGTAATGGCAGATAAAAAAGTTTATAAGCATACAAGAGAAAAATAGCAAAAAAATTTTTTTTTTAACTTTTTTGGTCCAAAATAGAAAAAGCTTATGTATCTTACTCAATAGGTTTTCAGCAATCTTTTGTTGCGTGTTTTTCTAATTCCCTAAGTCATTATTAGATGTTTATTTTATCTATTAGATATTTTGTCACGTGATGCTTAGTTTTTGAGATATTTCAACTGCCCAACTTGCCCATATGCTCAACTAGCCCCGCCCTACCCTACTATTATGAAAAGTAAATATTCTACTTTTAAATAGTAATTAATTCATCAAAATGAAGATTTTTGAAACAAAACATTAAACAAGCAAATAAATAAATTTATATTCTTTTTTTATTTTTATATATATATATATATATATATATATATATATATATTATATTATATATTAGGTACCAAAAAATTATTACTTTTTTTAGAAAAAAAAATTGCTTCAAGTAGGAGACCATTATTAGACCATAATACTATAACGTACAAAATTTGAAAGTTGCAAGTCTTCCGATTCTATCTTATTTTAATTTCAACTTTATTTTATTTCATTATGAAACATAAACTAGAGTGAGCGATAATCAATGAATTTTTAAAACAAGTGTTGGTGTAAAACATTTTCCCGCATATTTTTATATATAATGAGACATAAATAATCTATTTTTTACCCTTTATAATTTTATAGACATGTTTAAGTCCTGTAAAAATGGGTAGTTTTACATAAAAGCCGTAAGATGAACTTATGTAAACAAAACATTTATAAAAAAACATGTTTTTAAATGTTGAAACTTATTTAGATTTAGATAGATAGTTAATAAAAAAACATTTCAGATATATTTTTAAGTTAAAAAAAAAATATACATATATATATATATATATATATATATATATATATATTATATATATATATATATATATATATATATATATATATATATATATATATATATATATATATATATAAATAGGCTTAGAGGGAAGCAAGTGCTTTAATTCTCACTCTCGCCAACATTCCTCAAAATCGGTTTACGGGAGCAATTTAGGGCCCTTACAAAAGTATAAATTTTTCTTTCAAAAGTATAATTATTATTGTAATTAAAATAAAAAATGTAATCATTTGAATAAATACTTTCATTAATTCTTAAAACGAATGCATTCTATTACAATAAGGAGATATAAAACTTTTATTTTAAGCAGTTAAAATAAAACTCGTCTGAAGAATTTTTTTATGCTGCAATAAACTTGTTATGCAATAAACTTGTTATGTATATATTTTTTTAATGTTAATTGTTATGTATATATTTTTTTAATGTTAATAACATAAGCTTGATATGGCACGACAAATTTATGAAAATGTAAACTTTTGTTAAAAAAAGACTATATTTTTGCTTATGTAAACGTTGGTGCTTGCTTAAAATTTTTAAAAAACACATGCATTACTTCAGCAATTTTTTTTCTACATAATTATGCGATTGATAGTTTTTTATTTATTATAAAAATAATATATTTATGATAAAAAAAAAATTAGTTATTAAAGTTTAAAACACTAATTAAAGACTTTAAAAGAAACCAAGCTAAAACACAATTATTTCTTTTAAAAGCTTTTAAAACTCGTCTAAAGAATTTTTTTATGCTGCAATAAACTTGTTATGCAATAAACTTGTTATGTATATACTTTTTTAATGTTAATTGTTATGTATATATTTTTTTAATGTTACTAAGTAAAATAAGTAAACAAAGATAGTAGTTATGTTTTAGCATGGTTTTTGTGTTAACAAAACATTTAGAGTTTTACATAACAAGAGCATTTAGAGTTTTACTTAAAATGAATGCATTTGCAATTACTTAAAAAGAAACCATGCTTAAATATTAAGATTGCTTTTTTCTATAGCTTGCTTTTCTTTTTTAATTTTATTATTTTTCTTAAAGTGAAGTAATGTTTATTTGCATATTAAAAAAAAACTTTCAAAATGTTTGAAAAGAATACTTAAGCTTTGCTAAAATGTATACAATCTAATAGAATATCTAGAATTAATATGTTTATTTTATTTTTTATTTTTAATTGTGCGTTTAACAATATTATGAAATTTGTAAATAAATTTAGCAAACTAAATTGAGAAATATTTATTATTTAGTATCAAATGGATAGCAATTTACAATCGTTAGGTTATTGCGTATTATCATTAATTTGCACACACTTTGCAAATGCATAAAAAAGAAATAAAAATTAATTAAACTTAATATGCATCATTGATATATCTAATAACATTTTTAACTAGAACAATAATAATTTGAAAATAAAACTTCTTTATAGGACATATATCTCTTAAATTAGGCATTCGTTGTTAAATAAAGAGATGTCAACTTAACGTCAACTTAATAGACTAAATAGACTAATAAACTTAATAGACTAAATAAAGACTAATAGACTAAATAAAATAGACTAAATAGACTAAATAAAATAGACTAAATAAAATAGTCTAAATAAAAATAGACTAAATAAAGACTAATAAACTTAATAGACTTAAATAAACTTAATAGACTAATAGACTTAAACTTATAGACTAAAAAAAACGAACATCAACTTAATAGGCTAAAATGTTTTAAAAAACATTTTTTTTTAAAAAGAAAAACATTTTTTATTTTTTTAATAAAAACAAAAACATTCTGAATGTTTTTATTTTTAATTTTTACTATATATATACATTGTCTGATAAATAGGTAAAACAAGCAAGGAGTGTTGCTAAATTGACTGACAAATAGGTAAAAATGTGAGGAGTGCTGCTACATTAACTGATAAGTGAACATGTTAGGAGTACTGCTACATTGACTGAGGGTTTTGGTAAGCAGTCTATCAAAGTATACATATATATATATATATATATATATATATATATATATATATATATATATATATATATATATATATATATATCAAGGACTACTATATGACAGGACGCGCAATTTCGATTTTCTGAATTCGCTAGCCAAGGCCATTATTTCTATCAAAGTGGAAGCGTTTTTAACGTTACAGTAATATTTTTTGAAAATCTCTTTCATTATGCCAAAAGTGTCGTGTTTTTAAATCACCTAAAGATGAAGTTGAGAAACAGAAATGGATTAACTTGCTTCCTTAATGTAAAGATTTTGTTATAGAGGCATCTAAATTTTTTACATGTGAAAAACATTGGCCTGAAAATACAGAAACGATTAAGCTTCCTGGTGGCTATACTCGACTTCTATGTGCACCAAGTATTTTTAATGTTCCTTTTTCTTGTCTACCAACACCAAGGTCAGCGCTTTGCCAATCTAAGCTTGAGGATCAGCAACTTAACTATTTTAAAAAAGACAAAAAAAATTAGTTTTCTGAATTCTATCTTGACAAAGAACTACGCAAAAAGCAATTTTAATTATATATCAACTTGATTAAAATATAGTAACATGTTAAAATATTTCTCAAAACTATATATATACTATATATATATATATATATATAAAATATATACTCAAAAACTGCAGTCTATAATTTCTGCCACAAACATTGATCTTTTATTACAAAAAATATTTTCAAAAGTAAAGAACAATTATCAGAAAAATGCTTTTTTTGATAGTTGATGAGGTAAAAATTAGATAAACAGTTGCTTATTCAGGCGGAGTTTTTCAAAGGATGACAAAAAATAATCCAGAGTCTAAAGCAACTTCTATGCTATGTGTAATGATGAAATGCTTACATGGTAGACCTAGTTTAATGGTTTCTGTTACATCTGTTCACAAACTAACATCAATGTATCATTTCAGTGTTGTGAAAGAAGTTGCTGTTTTAGCTGAAAAAAATGGTGCCATTATTTTAGGATATGTAGCAGATAATCATAAAATCAATCAGCAATACTGCAAAATTTTCAAAAGAATTACTGACTGTCAGGTCATTCATGATAAGCGTGTTTGGTTTCTTTTATTTGATACAGTTCATCTTCTTAAATGTTTGCGTAACAACTGGATTTCTGAAAAGTGTCAATAGTTATCTCTTGACAGTAAAACCACTGGTTCTTTTTCTGATGTCAAAAAGCTATATCATTATGAAAAAGATAATATTTTGAAATCAGTTTCTATATCTCATGCTGCTGTTTATCCGTCTAGACTTCAACTACAGAATGTGCAACATGTTTTAAAAATATTTAATGAGAAAGTAGTAGCTGCTTTGAAACTAAAAG